TACAGGCACCGTAAGCGCGCTCACTGGCGTCCGAAAACCCGTGAATCTCCACGTGATTGTCTCCTTCTGTGAAGCTGCTTCTGACTCTGCGAGGTATCTCGATTTCCTTGGCCTTCACTAAATCTTGAATAAAGTGAGTCCATTCCGCGTTGATTTTCGGAGGTAATGGATCATCCCAATCCAAATTGTTTCTCCATATATCTTGCATTAAGATCTTTGACCTTGTGATCACTGGCCCAAGTAGCCCTATGGGATCGAAAATATGGGCAATTTGTGATAGAACTGTTCTTTTGGTGTGCGTCTTTGGGAGTGACGCCTCATCTTGAAATCTGTATTGAAGCATGTCCTTGGCAGGATTCCAATTAATGCCCAGAGTTTTGGCTGATCCACACTTATCCAATTCGAGTAACTGATTGGGTGACGACATGCTTTGCATCCCTTCGAGCAGCCTAGCGCTGTTAGAGGCCCACTTTCGCAATTTAAAGCCTCCTGCTTCAAGCAATGCAGATACTTGATCTCGTATTTCTATCGCTTCTGTCAATGTGTCCGCTCCTGATATGAAGTCGTCGACATAAAAATCCTTGTATGCTGCGGCCGCTCCTTTTGGAAATTTATGAGCCTCGAGATCCGCTAATCGTTGAATGACCTTTGTTGCTATGAATGACGCCGGCGCAGTCCCATAAGTCAATGTCAACAATTCATAAGTCTTCATATTTTCGGATGGATCATTCCTCCATATTATTCTTTGTAAAGATGTTTGCTCAGCCTCCACTTTAATCTGTCGATACATCTTCTCTATATCGGATGTCAACACGTATTTATTCGTTCGGAAACGCAGAAGTATGGAGATCAATTCTTGTTGCAAAACAGGCCCTACCATTAGGGTGTTGTTTAATGAAATGCCGGTTGAGGATTTGCACGACGCATCGAAAACGACTCTTAACCTGGTTGTACTGCTAGCTGCCTTTATGACGCAATGATGAGGCATGTAGAAATGCGGCCATGCATTGTCAACTGGATCGGTGAGCTCGCGCATGTGCCCCAACGCCGAATACTCGTGTATAAATTTGCTGTATTCCATCTTGAGCTGTGGGTCACGCCCAAATCGCCGCTCAAGATTCTTGAATCTCTGGACCGCGATTTCTCTCGAAGTTCCCAAACGTCTCATTATATGCTCCTTGAATGGAAGCGAAACGACGAATTTTCCATCTTGATCCCTCTTGTGAGTTTTCATGAAGTGGTCCTCGCATGCACGTTCTTCAGGGGTTCGCGTGTCTTTTCTCTCGCAACTTTCAATTTGCCAAAATTTTGTAAGAGCCCTATTTAACGAATCCGTCGTAGTTACGTTGCAAATAGACCCTTTGGATGAATTGCCAAGACCGCTGCAACTTCCTGAGACGATCCAGCCCAAGAGAGTATTCTGCCAGATGGGCTGATTTCTTGCCAACCTAATCGTGCCGACTGCCATTAACTCAAAAAATGTTTCTGCTCCTAAAAGCATATCGATTCTCGACGGTTTATCGAACTGAGGGTCCGCAAGCGGAACATTCTTCGGAATCCGTAGGCGAGATCTATCCACCTCAATAGAAGGTAAATCCTGGGTGATTTTCTCGACCACCAGGCAATCCAATGTCCTTTTGAACCCAGTGATTCTAGATTGTATCGTGACTGTCGTTGAATTTCTGGCTCGAGTCAACTGCTGACCCACTCCATAAATCGGCACATTAATTGATTGTAATTTAAGCCCAAGCTCCTTACAACAGCCACCTGTAATAAAGCACGACTGTGAGCCATTGTCGAGTAATGCTCTGACTGACCTGATCTCTCCTGACACATCCTGAACATTTACTATCGCTGTTGCCAATAGAACCTGCTGTGATTCCTTCACTGACGTACAACTTATGCTAGCCAATTTCGTAGTTTCTTCGGCATTAGATTCGACAGGCCT